AGCGTTTTGCTGATGTTGCTGAGGTGAAGGAAAAAACGACGGAGGCGCTGTCAAGCATCTCAAAAGATGAATTTAGACAATGTTTTGAAAAATGGAATAAAAGACTAGACAAGTGTATTAGTGTAAGTGGAGAGTACTTTGAAGGGGATTGAAGGTTTGTGCTTAAAATTTGAATAAATAAGTTAAAAAAAATAAGTTTGGTTTCTTTTGGGTACCCCCTCATATGTGGTATGCTGCACACTTGTCACTTGTGTGTCACTTGTGCACTGGAATGTGGATTCTGCATGGTTGCCATTGCACATGACAGGACACTGGCATCTTATTATTATTATTGGAGGGGGTGGGTTTCCCCATGCACTGTGACCAATTGTTGTTCTATTGTACGTCCCCCTTTGATATTCTACCAGTCCCCATACCCTGCCAGTACTGGTGCGTGCTATCAGCCCCGTTGAGCCAACGAGGTCGGCCCTCGGTACCTTGATGCTTCCCCCATCTACCAGAGGCACTGGAAACTACTTGGGCAGGAAACTTGCCTAATTTAGCTCAGAGGTCTCCTAGAGACATGAGGTTCTTTTATGTGCCGTAATCTGTGACACGGGACCCACGGCTTAAAGTCCCTCCCAGAAGACTTGTTCCCTGAATTTTTCTGCCCTTAAAAATTCCACGACCTCCGCCGGGTTTGAACCCATGTACCTTGAGTCATGAGGTGGGAACGTTACCCCAAGACTACGGAGGCCGCTACACTGGCATCTTACTAAGGAACCTTCTGTCTGGCTTGAGGCAGCTTCATATGAGATTCATGGTGGACAAAGTGGTACTGGAGTAGGTTTTCCCCTGCTGATCATCAGTCCACCATTGTTCCATACTCATCTATCACAGCCCTTGCCGTGCGCAGCAGCCCTGACCAAGCAGCACATTATCACATCCTTGACCTTTAAGTTGGGGGCTTCTTCTCTGACCCAGCACTTGGCTGGGCTACAGAGTGAGGAAATTATTTACTTTTTGGGTTTTGTGCACCAGTGCTGTTTTTAATTGATCAGTAAACATCTTTCTTTATGTATTTTATTTCGGCTTCTGAGTCACATGGAGCATATACAGGATGTTCAGTGATCAAGGAAACCTGGCAGCAACATGGATCAGACACAGCATTCCTCACAGATTGCTGCTCTAACTGCCAATAGTGGAATGAGTCATTAGCGCTGATAAACGCGCTCACTCTCGATAGCTTAGAGTGGATGGAATGTTTCTCTGCAACTACTGTGCCCTTCCCTGCTAGCGAGAGTGCAGTTGTGTCGCTGATTCCCTCACATCAGTTTCTGTGCATGCACATATTTATAAGAATACTGTAAAGAGATAACACAAACTTACCATGCTTTATAGCAGGTGCTGGAAGTGACCCCATTCTTCTTGCAAACATGTCTCGCATCCCATAAATAAATTATGCCACACTTTCTGAAGTTGGTCCTCAGTAATTGAACCAATTATGGGTGTTATTTCATTCTGCAGAGCTTCAGTGGAGCAAGGATTATTCTTGTAGGATTTTTAGGTTTCCCCAAAGATAAAAATTGCAAAAACTGAAATCTGGGGATCTTGGGGGCCAAGTCCCCTGCTGATTATTCTGTCTTCAAATGCTTCCCATATTGCGATCATGGTTGCAATAGCTGTACGTGCTGTAGCGCTGTCTTGCTGAAAATACCCATATTGTCTTTCTTCAGCATTCAGCTGATTGAAGAATGGATTCAGTGTATCATTAACATAGTGATCAGAGTTCATGGTTTTGTGAAAAAATAAGGGGCGAATGATTCGCTATGGACTTAGAGCACACGAAAACTCAACATTTTCACTATGTAATGGCACTTGTATAGTGTGAGGATTTTCATTGCTCCATATTCTTCCATTTTGTGCATTGACATGGCCACTAACGTGAAACCGCGATTCATCTGTCATGAACAGAAGCTGTGGATCCACGATTCCAACATGCACATTTTGCAGCAGCCAGATGCAAAAACGAATTCTTGCTACATAATCTGGTTGTTTCAGCTCATGCACAACTGTTATTTTGTACAGGCAAAATCTGATTAATTTTGTGCCTGTGAAAGCTGATCCTAGCAGAGAAAGGTTTCCTGTGCTAAGCATTTTAACGATTTTCAGGGCTCATCAGTAGTCCTGCCTCAATATCCTGGACATTTTCTTCAGTCACCTCAATCCTCTTCAATTGCTTCTTTATGTCTCACACTGAACCTATGGCCCGCCACTTTTTCACAAGCTTGGATACACACAATTTTGTGGGAACTGGCAAGTTAGGATATTTACAACAAAACTTACGGATACATTTTCTGTAAGTTGTTCCTTGCAAAAGTTTCGACAGTAAACACACACTGTTCAGTAGTGAACTTCATTTCAGTATAAATGTCAACTGCCTATTGACACCTCTAACACAGACTATTAATGTGACTTACTGCGGCGACAAGATCAGACCACCTGACAGTGCACGTTTATCAGTGCAAATGACTCATTCTGCTATCAGCACTTACAGCAGCAATCTGTGAGAATTGTTATGCCCACTCCGCTCTGTTGCCAGGTTTCCTTGATCATTGAACGCATTCTATAAACAGGACGGTGTTTTTAGATGAAGCCAGGACATTGGATAATGAACAGAACCATAATATTTGCACACCATATATTATTTGACGCTATGAAATACAGATACCTGATTACAATGTGCTATTACACTGCATTACAGGTGTTTGACATTGGTAAAGGTGACAACACACCGATCACAGGGCTGGAGTTCCACCGGGTGCCTGATTCAGAGAAATACTTTGTCCTCGTAACAACCCCAAACCGGCTGTACCAGTTCATTGGCTACGTGACTAACTCAGATGAGAAACCGCTCTTACAGCAGATCTTCAATAGTTACCTCACCGTTCCAGGTAACAGATGAGTTTGTTGGATGTGAGGTTCTCACAGCAGTTATTACTAACTTCTGGGATATGATGAACTTCTGCTGGACTACACAGCATTCTGTCCCAGAAAATAATATTGACAGTTGATTTAAAGATATTCATATGGTCTGTGGAGGTGATATTGTCATGGAATGAGGATAAACATGCGTAATTGTGCTCTTTGTGTTTACCATGTGTTCCTTAAGGAAAAAAGCAGACTTATGAGATTGTCATGCTGTCTGTGTGAAAGTGGTGCTCTGTTTGCTCAAACAAACCCAACAAGTATACCACTTCATCATCTTTGATTCAGTTGTATGTTTTGATGCTCCCTACATGAATGAGACATCTAATTGCAAGCTCATTATTGATCATACTGCTTGAGTACCTCCCCCTCAAACTAGTTTGACCACAAGAAAAAATGCAAAGTAATTAAAACAATCATATCATGTGATAGCTAAGCACTGTTTTTTTTGGGGGGGGGGACGTCATTATACATGTGTGGAAGTGTGTTTACTGAGCTGTTGCCTAGATACTGGTTGCATTACCTTGTTGTTCCATTGTTGCATGTTGGACTGTGTGTGTGTGTTGTGGGCATTGCTTATAATGGATTGATTTACATGTCACAATACATATGAAGGGGGGCACAACCATTGACACCACAGAAGGAAAATAGCAAAGAATGGAGAGAGAGTTTTGTTCTCGAACAAACATATTGTCACGTGTTGGGTATGTTACGCGACAAATAACTTCACACCATCAAGGATGTAGTGAATATTTATTGTACTTCGCTTCTACACTCACACACTTTACAATTATTGTCACTTGCAGTATCACAATCACTGCTTCCACTATATCTCAGCGAATACAAGACTGCCTTTGTCAGCGACTCTCTTAAGAATGACTTCTGGCCCAATACTCAACTTTCATTCGAGGCTGGACCCTTTTCCTAGGCTGCACGTGTACTCCATAGAGGACACCCCTCGCCAAGGTTCAGTGTCACGTGTTCAGCAATCCAGTGCTTTGGGAACACTCCTTATAGAATACCCCGGTAACGTGTTTCATGTCATCTATTGTTATTCAACGGCAATTCGATGCTAGGGTTTTCCTACATGATGGTCTGTTGTTATTCATTTCTCGCTGTGGGAACTCAACAGTTTCCAAGTATTTGTGGTTGTGAAAATAACATGTTACAATATTTTAGTGTGAAGAATGATAATACAGTAACATGGAAATATACTGACTTCAGTTCTAGTGCACTGTGACAGGTTCAAAAAGTAAACAGTTGCCTGAAGGTTGCCAAGTAAGGCTAAAACATGTAGCAATTGTTGAGGTTTTAATGTTATTTTAAATTAAAGAGAGATTATGAACATTTTTAAGTTGCATTAAAGACACAGGTGAATGCGTGATTGTTTAGTGTTAGATGATAGCATGACTAATGAATGGTGAATTGGAAAGGATTTGAAAGGAAGTGCTGTGGCTTAATTGAGGTACTGTCCCAACATTTGCCTGGAGCAACTGGGGAAAGTCATGAAAAGCCTCATTGCAGATACCTTGCATTTTGGCTGAGATTCAAACTGAGCACCTCCGGAATAGAAGACTTGCTATGCTGATGTGTTCGGTGAAGATGTGTTAATAGAGCAAGTAACGACTAGCAGCAGATGGATGATGTTCAGTTTCATGTGTCTGTAGTGTTTATTATTCTAGGATGAGGGAGTGTATCTGTATAAGGTCAGAGGGTTCGTTATATGGGGCCCAGCACTATGGCTGACCCTGATCTGCTCTGGATTCTCCTTCTAAAATTAGCCAGCTAGCAGTCTCATGCTTCAAATGAAACACAGTACTTTACTGTGGGGCTGACTGTCTTGTCTGCATCTCTTTAAATCAAATATCTTATATACAGATACATGAATACATTTTTCTGAAACAGTATAGGAGTTAACAGAAAAATGTTCTTGTGAAAGGGATCACTTGAGAGATCTGTCACAGAGAAATAGGAGAAATACCATTGGGCCTTGTGCAATTTCTGGTCAGAAGTTATCCTGCCTTATATTTGATTTATTTATTTATTTATCAGTCACTTGGTCTTTGTAATGGATATGCATTGTGTTTTCTGTGAGGAAGGAACTCCTCTTTAACTTCAAAGGTTGAGCATTAGCCTGTTTCAGCTACATTTATGACTGTCCATCTCTTCTTTCGTCTTGCCACGTCTCTCTTACTACATACTTTGTAAGTCATGGCTTGTTTTGGAGTGTGGGTTGTATTCATTTCCATCTGTTTTCTTTTGTGTTTTGGGTCTGTGAGAGAATTCATAGTTCTCTCATTTGGTCTTTATTTCTTATATTTTATTGCAACCCTTTGCAGATCCTAAAAATCTCTCAGCTGCCTGTATTCTCTTCTAGTCATGAATCATCATAGTTGAAAAGATAACTGATTTTTAATACCATTTAGATGAAATTCATTCTTGAAAGGTTTCAATATGTTATGCCATATGACGTGACATACAAGGAGCAGATAACGATTGTATCAGACATTTCTTGTAAGCCAGCTCACTGCCTGGTGACTATGTTGCATATTAACATGTGGTATGTATGTTCTGCTTGTTCCAGAGAGCTTTCAAGATATTCCAAGTTCTCTCAAGTATTCCAGACTGCAGTTCTATTATCCAAATCCCAAAGGACTACCTAAAACCTTTGCTTGGCTAACAGAACCAGGAATTTTCTATGGACAGGTGAGTTTGTTGAAGTTCATCTGGTAGCATGTCATACATTGTTCAGAAACTAATCAGTGTTCTTTGTTTACCCCAGAGAGTGGTAGCACTGTTATCTGAAATATATTATTATATGGCAGTATGTACATGGTACAGGGGGTTCCCAATTTAATATTCCTTGATTTAAGGTTTTGCCCTTGTATAGAGTGCAGTTTCAAAGATATGAAGTTCATACATGGTGTTTCTTTCAGAGATGAGGGTTGGTTATTTTATGATGCTTTCAGTGACAATGCCAGATGGTAGATGATTTATGAATTATGGTTTGGGAAGGATCTGGAAGGAAACTGAAAACACTCATGCCATGCTGCGGTCAGTCGGTGTATCCTTTCTGTGTGTGTGTGTGTGTGTGTGTGTGTGTGTGTGTGTGTGTGTGTGCNCCCCCCCCCACTCTCCCCAGTCTTCTGAGGGTTAAGATTCACAAAATGTGTTCTCTCTTGCAGTTGGATATGAGTGGCCGTGACTCCGTTATGACCAACAGCCAGTTACTGCAGTACATTCCACCAAACTCAGGAGCACCTCTTGCATTTGTCATCACTGAGTTCCATGCCCTCCTGCTGTATGCTGATCATGTGAAGGGCATTTCACTCCTGAATCATGAACTTGTGTTTGAGGATGTCTACAATGAGGTCAGTTCAGTCTGTCAGTATTTACAAAACATACATTGAGGCAGGTAGTCATAACTTCCTGGTCTTGTGTACTGAAGGTGCCCATTTTTTATTTTGTCCTAACCGTGTCATAATGCAGTGAATTACAGTATAAACAGTGTAAACTGAAGTTACTATGCCATGAAGGTATATGGGGGAGCGAACGTACAGATCAATGTCTTCTTGACCTTGGCACTAGATGGAGGTGAGTGGTCAACTTCATGCCTAAGCTTCTTTAGCCGCAGGGAAAGAGCCTCCAGATACCATTGGATAGAGCCAGTTTGGATGACATGGAGAAGAGAAATTTCTTAACCCTACTTGGGCTCAGGTTGCAAACCCTTGGTCGTCCAGCCCCTAGTTAGTCACTATACTGACTGCGCTATAAAAAACAACACAGACTCCCAGAAAACCCCTCTACTGTATAATACATCATAGAGTATAAAAAAACAATTTTAATTCAGTTTTAACTTTTAACTTTTGAGTTAAAACGTTTTACATTTAAGGATTAATATTCAAGTGTAATGAAACACAAGAATAAAAATGAAATTCATATTTATGACTACTATTTTATGTCCACATTAGAAATAGAATTCTAGTAGTATATTTCATGAACATTGCCTGATGATCTAGTTATGGGATCAAAACATGTAGCAAATTTACATAATAAACAAATATTGATACAGTAATATTCGTTTATTTGTTAAAAACTTGTTGTGTCGGCACTTGTATAATAATACTGCATTCTGGCTGAGTTTTCATGATTTTCCTCAGTTCCTTCATGCAGGTACTGGGATAGCATATCAGTTAGGTTACAACCACTTTCTTCCGAATCCCTTCTTATTAATTACCTAGTAGGGGTCCTACCATTGATCGCTATATAATCTGAGATACAAACAGATTCTTAAAATGAGTCACAAAAATTTGTGTTTTGATTTGGTATGTAATAAATGATCATGTTGAATTCTTGTGTTTACAGTCATTTGGGAAGCTAGTGAACATCACACAGGATCCAGTCAAGGGTATCATCTGGGTGTTCACTGAGAAAGTAGTGTTTCGATATAAAGTTTGCCGTGAAGAGAGAAATGTCTGGCAGGTATGTGTTGTCTGTAACAAGACAGACTAAGACAAACTGTACGGAAGAACAGTTATGAATCGGAGATCGTAAAATGAGCAATGTAAGGGGTTCCTTGACATTTTGAAAAGAAGTTAAACCGTAGATCTGGAAACCTGATGCTGACCTTGCTCATGTCATACATGAGTAACTTCTTGAAGAAAGGGCTGCGCCATAGCTCAAGCAGTTAGTTGCTGGCTTCCCACCGCAGCGGCCCGGGTTCGATCCCGGGTCTGGTCAAGTGGGATTTATGGTGGACAAAGTGGTTCTGGGCCGGTCACAGTAGCCGAGCGGTCTAAGGCATGCACTGTCTTCGCTCGTTTGGAAGCCGCGATCGTGAGTTCGAATCCCACTCAGGGCATGGATGTTTGTGTGCGTTTTTCTGTGTTTGTCTACAGGTAGAGGCCTTACGATGAGCTGATCACTCACCCAAGGAGTCCTACCGAATGTGTAAGATCGAGAAAAACCGAAGTGAACGGAGTTCATGGAGGTAGGCCTAGGCCCACTGGGGCTGTAGTGCCAAGGGGGGAAAAAAAGTGGTGCTGGGGCAGGTTTTCTCCCAGTACTTCGGTTTCCCCTGCCAATCTTCATTCCACCAATTGCTCCACAATCACCTTCACCTATCATCTGGTGCTGGTACAATAGGCCAGAATTGGCCACAGTACAAAGGACTTAGTCCCACCCCACTAGCATTAAAAAACTTCTTGAAGAATACTATTTTCTGGGAGATGATGCCATTTAGTCTCGTAAAAGTGCACCAACATTAGGGATGAATATGTTGCTTCCATTTCTTGTAGTAAAAGAGGAATCCAAGCAAGTAACCAGCCAAGCAGAAGTTTATTGCTTGACTTACACTTTGGCCGTGAAGATGGAGGTTGTACGTTCCCCTGAAATATCAGTAAACGTCAGCCAGACTACATGGCGTCACATCCCAGTGGATAATTCTGTTGATAGTCACCGTCATGGCTAGTTGACTTCCAGCCAACTTCTTGATTCAATGGAAAGTGCAGTTGTGAAGCTCATTACAGAAGTTAACTGAGCTCATCAAGAAATTTGCTGCTTTTATCAACCTCAAGATTCATTGCCAAACTGACAAAAGCTCATTCTTGGACCCTATTCTGAGCCAGTTGAATATGATCCATTTTTATTTATTGCATTTAAGTTCATTTCATGTAAAAAAAAAAGTAAAAAGGAAGTAAAGCTAGCCCTGTAATAGGCCGGGAAGGCCCATAGGGTTGTGAGATGTTGAGGTTCCCACATTTTCTAGACCATCAGCTCACAGATGGCGGTGAGGTTGTCAGCCCTACATGCCAGCTGCCTTTACCACCAAGAATATTCCTGGTATTCATTTCTGTTAGAAGCTGAGTCGACCCCGGAGCCATAGTGCGATCAGAAGGATTAGGTCAATTGAAAAAAATCCAGTGACCTCATCAGGATTTGAACCCACAACCTTTCGGCTTGTAACATAGTGCCTCAACCAACTACACTACTGCATGCCCCTGTTCATTTCATGAATACTGCAAACAGCTGTGGTTAAATATAGAGGAAAACATAAGTAATGTCTTATCCGAACCTTTGGTCATAAGAAGTAAGTCTGACACCAGTGGAGCATGAATTTTATGTTTAAACAGCATTAACCCTTAGAGCTCAGTGGTAGCTATACATACCACCTCCTTTAATATTAAAGAATTATTCATTTGCCTGCACAGTGGCATGCAGACCCATTTTCTGAGCAACAACTGTGAGATAAGCAAATATACAACAACCATTACTGAGTAACATCTTCACAAACAAGCATGTTTGTGTGGCAGCGATTGGAAACAGCAACGGAGGGACTGTTTTCTGTGCGGTCTGTGCCGAGGTGTTATAAGGAGGACATTTAGTCGAGGGTTGATAGTTTGAGCGATGAGTCAGTTCCGAGACAGTCACCAGCCAGTAAGAATGTGAGCAAGGAAGTAGAGGACATCATTGGGATCCTTCACCAGGCAGTGACTGGTGAAGACATTGCAAAATGAGAAGATTTTATGTGTGCTTTGGTTACAGTGATCTTTGGAGTGTGTAACTCAGTGAGATTGTCGTAGTTACATATATTTACATTTTGTAAGTGTTCAGTAAATCCAATACCAATCCAAACCCTGTCTATAGTCACACTCATAAACATGGCAGTATTTATGTGTTCTGTGTTCTGTGTGATTCTGACAATAAACCAGTTTCTTCCCTAAATAGCATTAACTGGTTGGTCTCTGTAATGGAGATACAGTGCATTTCCTGTGAAACCTAAAAGCCAGAATATTGAAATCAAAGAAGCATCACAGAAGCTTCAATTGCTACAGAACAGGTTTGTAAAATATGCTTCATGGCCGTTAATACACAGAAATTGGTTTGTATCTAAGCTGTGTGAGAAGTCAGATGAGACCTGGAACAGAGCAATGACAGGTGTGAAGCGTTTGAGTACAGAAACAATTGCACACAGAATTAATGGGTTTTGGTAATTTTCCATCATCCGGAATTCTAGCTAATAGAAAACATGACATTTTGGAAACTGGATCTGTTTCCATCTTCAGGTGAGGAAGGAAGACACCTACTCTGTTGGGCCCCTAGAAAGAGATTGAGACTAGGTCTTTGTAAGGGGCCCAACTGAGTAGGTGTCTTCCTTCCTCACCTGAAGACAGAAACAGATCCAGTTTCCGAAATGTTGTGTCTTCTATCACCTAGATTCCAGACAATGAAAAAAGTCAAAATACCCAGTAATTCTATGAGTCATCCACCATCATCAGAGCCCTTTAGAATCTACAGAAACAACTGTTAATGTTTGTATCAAAGCAATGAGCAGGAGAAGACAACTCTGGAAGCACTGCTGTCATTTGTAGATCATGAAAAATAATATAAGTGTGGTAATTGCCCGTAGTTAAGGCTAACAAGCATCCAGTAAATTCTATTATCGGTCTGAATCCTGTGTCTGGTCATGTCATAGCTCAGGTGGTTAGTTGCCGGTTTCCCACTGTGGTGGCCTGGGTTGGACCCCAGGCCAGGCCATATGGGATTTGTGGTGGACAAATTGACAGTGGGGCAGATTTTCTCCAAGTCCTTCGGTTTTCCCTGCCAATTTACTTTCCACCTAATGCTCCTTGCTCATCATCATCATCTGTCATCCAGGCCTGGTCCAATTTACCAAACAGTGGCTGGCTTACCAAATGGACAGAGTCTCACCCCACCCAAAGAAATTAGAATTAATTAAATTAAGCCCAATCAGCATAGAGACAGGCTGCAGACTGGATGTCTCAGGAATCAGGGTTGAATCCCCAGCAGGAGCAAAAGACTTTTCTTTTCTTCACAGTGTCCAGATTGGCTGTGGGACCCACCAAGTCTCGTATACAGTGGATACCAGTGACTCTTTTCACTAGGGGTAAAGTGGCTAGGGCACAAAGCTGACCATTCACCTCTATCTAGTGTTAATGTTAAGAATGTATGTTGCCATGCCTCCACACCCCCATATGTCTTCATGTCATGGCTTTTACTGAAGGATGTGGTCTATTTTACCTTTTAGTTAAGCTAAATCATTTGCATCATCAATCATCATCAATCAAGCAGTGGTCACATGATGAAGCATGATTGTTTGCAGGTGTATGTGGAGAAGGGTGAGTTTGAGCTGGCCAAACAGTACTGCAAGGACAATCCTGCACACATTGACCAGGTTCTTGTCAAACAGGCGGAGATGTACTTCAACAACAAACAGTGCGTAACAGGCACATTTGTCTCTGTAAAACTGTGTTGCATTTCTTAATTAACTGACTCCTTGGAGCTGAGTCCTTCTTAAGAAGCTGATAGTTTCTGATCGCACGCTTTCACGGTGGTTCAGATATTCAGCCTTCATGCTACATGGATGTGTGCACCATTATGCATGTTTAAGAGGCACATCATGGTCTGTACTGAAGATGGAGGCAGCGTATACCTCCAAATCATTGATGGCAGTGCCCACATCTGTGTGTTGTAAAGACCCAAGAGTTAAACCAACTTGCTTGGTTGCTTGAGACATTCCCAGCATTTTATGGAACCCAAAAATTCATTACCATGCTCACAAGAGCCCTATTCTGATCCACCTGAATCCAAACCACATCCTAACGTCTTGTTTATTTAAAGCCATTTTAATATTTTCCTTTTATTTATGCTTAGGTCTTACAAGTTGCTCTTTCATTAGATTTTGTACCTAAAAGAATATGATTTGAGGCAGTTTACACAATGTTAAGTTCAGAAAATAAACAGGATGGACGCTGTCATGTCAACAACTTCTTTATTTTGCTGTTGATATCTTCGTTACATGTTTCGGCCTTTATGTGGGTCATCGTCAGGTGTACATGAACTTGGTGTCAGAATTGCATCATTTATTCAGTATGAATTCATATTGTGTATATATTGTTACACTTTTCTGATAATACGCTTTGATATTTAAAATAGTTAAAACTTGACATAAATATGCTATTGAAGTAACACATTGAGTTAAAAGATTAAAATTAAAATTACAGTTGAAGTTCCTAGTTAATATGACTAGTAATATTCGATGTTGTACATCTATGTGTATTATCAGGATAATGTAACAATATAGACACAATATGAATTCATATTTAAAAAGTGATGCAACTCAGAAATCTGACAGCAAGTACTCAAGTACACCTGAGGATGACCCAGATGAGGGTTGAAACATGTAGCAAAGATATAAACAACAAAATAAAACAGATGTTGACATGACAGTGTCTATCCTGTTTATTTTCTGAACTTATTGTTGTGTAGACTGCAAATCATATTCTATTAATGAATTATATACAACAGGATGCATACCATAAAGATTTTGTACCTAAACTTTGTGTGCATTTCTGTTCTCTTCTTTGCATGCTACATGCCATACTCATCCCATTTTCTTTATTCTTATCATATTAGTATTATATCTCTTGTCATTAATTTAGATTTGTTGTTTTAATAGTAATGATGCTTGTTTAAGTCCAGTTGATTCTTTTGCTCCCGCATCCAGGTTTGGTCGTTTACCTGTGCTTTGTTGACAGTATTATATGTGATATAGGTCAGGTAGTAACATGGTGTGACAAACTAAAACATTTCTCCCCAGAATGAATTATGAACACACTGGCTGTTACTATGTGGTTCATGTAGTGACCCTTTGTGATTCTTTTTACATTTGTAGCCATTTGCTATTCGAGGTTTAACCTTTATCGGATGAACGTCATCATATGATGTCGTTAAAAGTTAGGGCAGCTGGCCGAACGTCATCATATGATGTCGCGGATTCCACGCATGTAAGGTTTTTTTTAAAATTAAATTTAAAATATAAATTGTTGTTCTATTTACATAATTTTTGGTCACAACCTTTATAAGGTAACAGCCTTCCCTCCTGTGTGATCTAATGTAATCTACCGACATCATATGGCTGAACGACCTCATGATTTCGCGCATTGCACGCGTGTAAAGGTTTTTTTTAAAATTAAATTTAAAATAAAATTTTTGCTCTACTTACGTGATGTATTTTCACCATCTTCATGAGGAAACAGCCTTCCCTCCTGCATCATCTATGGTAATGTGGCCTTCATATGGTACTGCCGAAAACATTCCGAAATGCAGAGTCCGACGTCGCAGCTCACGCACTTCGTACGAACGCTAGACCGCTCCCCACGCGAAGAGCACACACGACACTTCAGTTGCAATTTAGAGGAAGCAGGCCAGTGATGTCGAGCTGCAGTGATATTTATCCCCGCAGCTACACCGGAATAATTATTCACACCTCTCCGCCACACTGGTCTGGCGGTCCCCAAGTTGCCGACGAAGGTGATCACCCTTCGTCCGCGGAATCAGAACTCCAACTTTCCTCCCCCCTCTCAGAATCGGTTGAATAGCAGTCCGAATCTGTGTCATTGAACAGCTGTTTCTCAATTTCAGCATCTTCCATACAATGTCGTCGTGTGGCCATGGTGAACTACACGGCTCTCTAGCAGTGAATCTCTGTGCTTAGACCATGATAAGAAGCCATAAATCTTAACCTCGAGCCCACACATACAAAAATCTCATTCACGACTTGGCTGAACCCAATATCTGCTTCATGATGTCATGGGTGGCTAAACTTATATTGCGATGTTTCAAAATCGTTACAAACACAATGGTTTGACTGCAATGAATGAACGAATGACCGATCTGGCAACACCATATTCCGAAAATTAACTCCTGTGTTTATCTAACACATTAGGCAGCGAGGAANGAAAGTGTATTACACTGCTAGAACGCATGGTGCAGAAAATGTATGAATTTCGGGAATTTTTTTTTTGGGAATCAGTGTAAAGAATTTTTACAGATATTAAAATCCGTAAATTAGAATATCTGATTCTATATTCTTTCTACATTAAAGGAGCGTTCATTTCGTTTGTTTATCATAAAAAATGTAGAAATCACACCATTTTTAGAAACATGCTTACAATTTCATTGCCCTAGAAGGGCAGGCATTTAAATAAACTCCGTCCAGCTGCCCCTGCCGGAAATTAAATGGCCCATCCGATAAAGGTTAAGATTCTCTCGTGGTTTGGGGTCAGCCAGGAGACCTACTCAGGGTGGAACTGGGACCTCAGTTTTATACTTTAAAAGAGACCACCTAAAACAGGCATAAAGAAAAGGATAATGTAAAATCAGGGAAGTGTCAGTGATGCCGTACGAAGAAATGAGAGTTGCTTTACACCATGAGTTTGGCCAGTCATTTGAAATATGGATGGTGCATCTCTTGCATGGAGTAAGGTTCAAACTGAGTATAAAATCTTTCACTTTCTTCTCAATTTCTTTCAATTGTGTTTAGTATGGATGACAATAATTGCAACCGTGATGCCAGTTCTACATGTGCTCCAGTATGCACATCAACTGGTGCTAGAAAGCAGTCTTCTGGGATTTGGCACCATGTATAAGCGGTGTTAACCGACGTTTCGGAGGAACGTATCGCCTCCATCTTCAGGGTAGAAGAAAAAGTATAAGAAATCTGCAAGCGACAAGACCGTGAGAACGGTAAAAGCATACGTTCCTCTGAAACGTCGGTTAACACCACTTATACACGGTGCCAAATCCCAGAAGACTGCTTTTTTCATAGTCACCGCCGTGAAAGCCTCAAATCTTACAACTGGTGCTAATTTATCTTTTATCGTAAATGCTTTCCTAACTGCTTCACTGTCCATAGTTCTGGTGAAAATGGAATTAGGTAACAAATGGACTGTCATGTTTCTGTACAGTGCCTAGCTCCATGTAGATACTGTCAGCAGCCATCTTCATAGAAACTCAAATGGTTGCAGCAGCTGAAGGAAAATGGTGAGGATGAAGGCATGTTTGTGTCAGTGATTGGTGGAGCTCACTCATATGAATTTCAAAAGCTTTCATATTCAAAGATATTGTCACGTGTTGGGTATATATAACGCGACAAATAACTTCACGCCTTATTTGATATAGCAAATTTATTTCACACTCGCTCTTACAATCACACAATTTACAGATAACAATTACTGCTATCTGCAGTATCACAAATACTAGACTGCAAATGCCAGAATACAACGGACTGGTTGCTGGCTAACTCGTTACTCTCCACTGGCTAAATGGAGAACTGTTGATCACACACTCGCTCGTAGGCTTGCTCGGAACTAACTCGGAACTGTCTTGAATAGTCTTCGCTGCTCCTTATTTAGCACTGTTCCGGACAACACAGAAAACAGCCACGTAATAGGCACCACTGTTGTCTGGCGCTGTGTTGCTAGCAACGCTGTCCGGAGTTGTTTACTGCTGCCTAGCAACCACGGTATCCCTTGGTGACATCACCGCTGGCGGGGTAGGCGAAGGAGTGTTGATTCACCTGTTACCTTAGTAACGACAGCGATCCGATAGCGTTACATAACCGCTGGCGGGGAGTGGGGTGTTCCTGCATAGCACAACACGTCACAATATTCCTATTTTAATAAGATAGACCTTGAACATGAGTGAAACAGTGACAGCGTTTCTTGGAATTTTCTAAAATAGAATGTTGTAAACGTAACATCAGATGAATTTGCATTATTAAAACTTATGAAAATAAGGTGCAGATTCAAGTAGAGTGTAAATTTGAGGAAGCATAATCCATTAAAATTTAATATTGTTCTAATGGATTATTGCACCAGGGGCCAAGAAAAGAAAAAAGGGAGAAAACTGCAATCCAAGAATGCAGAATCGAAGTTCCACCAAATTTGCATCGTCATGTTCTGTGATGGCCATCATGATGTAACAATGTAAGTGCCTTCTTTTTTTTTAATGTAGGTATGAAAAAAGTGCTGTCCATTATGCAGAGACACAGTCATCTTTTGAGGAAATCGCCCTGAAGTTCCTGCAGGTGTGGCAAATAGAGGCACTGAAGACGTTCCTGAAAAAGGTGAGCTGTACTCCAGCTTGCAGTACACATTTTCCATGTGCATTCTTTTCTTTCTCCCATACTTCATTGCTTTAGGGGGGGGGTATTTTATGATGTCAGTATCAAGACTTTCATAGCCTTGAATAGTAGGATGATAGATGAACAGTGGACTGGAAAGGATTTGGAAGGAAATAGGAGTGGCTTAATTAAGGAACTGACCCAGCACTGAGCAAGTAGGCTTCTGGTCAGTATGTGCTAGGTTCAAATCTCAGCCAGGACACTCTGTGTGCTGCCTTAAGTTTTTTATGGTTTTTCTTAGACCCTCTAGGTAGCCGCCAGGATAGTACCTCAATTAGGCCTTGACCACTTCTTTAAAAATCCTAATTAATGATTCACCAGCGATTTTGCTAACTGATGCTGTATAATTTTATGAGGGAGAGTCAGTAAGTATGTCACATGATCAGAGGCTGGTTTCAGTAGTCAAAATGGGTACTGTTATTGAGAATTGTACTACTAAAGAGCAGCATTCTGTCGTGTGTTTATTTTATTTAATTATTTATGTGTGCTTGGGACTGAAATTAAATGGGACACATCGGCTGTTGGTCTGTGCTGATAATGTGAATCTACTGGGAGACAATATGGATACCATAAAGAAAAACACACAAACTTTAACTGACTCTAGTCAGGAGGTTGGTCTAGAAGTAAACTGAGAGAAAACTAAGTATATGTTGCTGTCTCGTCACCGAACTGCAGGGCAAAATCATGACATAAAGATCGGAAACAGATGTTTTGAAAATGTGGAAGAGTTCATATATTTGCAAACAACTAAAACCTGATTCAGGAGGAAATTAAAAGGAGATTGAATCTGGGTAATGCTTCCTGCCATTCAGTCCAGAACCTTTTCTCTTCTTGTCTGCTGTCTAAAGACAAAAACTAGAATATACAAAACTATATTTTGCATTTGTTTCAGTATGGGTGTGAAACTTGGGCTCTGACAGTAAGGGAGGAATACAGATTGGGGGCGTTTGAGAATAGGGTGTTGAGAATATTTGGATCAAAGAGAGATGAAATGATAGGAGTTTGGACAAAACTGCATAATAAGGAGCTTCATAACTTGTGCTCTTTTCCAAGTATAATTAGAATGACCAAGTGAAGGAGGATTAGATGGACAGGTTATGTAGCACAAATGGCAGAGAAGAGGAATGCATATAGGATATTGGTGTGAAAGCCAGAAGGAAAGAGACAACTGGGAAGACAGAGGTGTAGGTGGGTGGGCAGTATTAAAGTGGGTCTTAAGAGATGTAGGATGGGACAGTATGGATTGGATTGATCTGGCTCAGGATAGGGATCAGTGCAGGGCTCTTGTGAACATGGTAATGAACCTTTTAGTTCCATAAAATTTTGGGAAATTCTTGAGTAGCTGCACAACTGGCAGCTTCTCAGGGAGGGCTCAGCACCATGAGTGAGTGATGTGTGGCTTATTTGATGCTGCTGTTCATTTATTGAAGTGCAATTCTGTTTCCTATAAACTTTTTCTTTCTGTTGCAGAAGTTGGAAGGCCTGAAACATCAGGACAAGACACAGATAACAATGATTGTTATCTGGGTGATTGAATTGTTCCTGAATCAGCTGGGTACATTGCGAGATGAAGGGATGGAGAACAGTGCTGAATATGTGAGCCTACAGAAGGAGTTGGACTCGTTCCTTGCTCGCCCACAGGTCACGGTGTGTTTTGCACAACTTACAAATGCAGATAATATCCGTCATTTATGGAAATCTCATATTTAATGATTATTTCTTTCTGGTCCCAGCCGATGTCCAATATAAACAATGTCTCTTTTTCCCACATTTAGTGAACTGATTTAATAAATAACCCTTTGTAATGTAAGAAACTTTTGACTTCCTGGCTTTGTACCTTGTCTAAGTACAATTGTGGTTGAAACAACACTCAATATTCATGTTTTTTCTTGCTGTTAGAAACCATTACCACACAACCATAAATAATGTTTGGTAAGTTGAACATATTGAACATGCAGTGAAACCATGCTGCATTTTGCATCATATTTCTGTGATTCACAACTAAGCTTCTCTTATTGTTTATTTTGTATGTCATTTTAAAAATTAAATTGACGTTCTATAATTGTATTTACTTGTATGGAAACAGTTTACCTAATTACATATGTAAAGAAATGTTATGACAGTCACATACAGTAAGTCTTATAAGAGAATGTACAGCTTTTTGATGTTATTTTCCACAGCCCCCTATAGTGGAAACCTTGATTGAGTTCAAGAAAGGTTTTCACTGAACAATGAAATTCCTATTTAATTAATCTTACCTAAAGCAGGGATTACTGCTTGCTATGTGGTTGTTTGCTTAGTGTATGAAAATGGAGGCAGTGCATTCCTTTGAAGCATCTGTGAAACTGTACCACACTACGCAGTAATTCTGACTTTTATCATGTTCCCTTTGCTATAACATTCCTTCTATTTATGACAGTCATTATTGCAGCCTCATATATCGCACTGTTTGATGTTAAAATTGGTTTCCTGCAAACCAAAATAAAAGTGATATTCACAACATTCAAATGAAGTATATAAATATGTTGTTTGTTGTAGGAATGTGTGAAGAACAACCGCAGTACAGTGTATGACCTAATGGCAAGTCATGGAGACAAGCATAACCTCATTAAACTCACCATAATGAACAAGGATTTTGAACGAGTTATACGCCATCATATTCATAAGAACAACTATCTTGAAGGTACAGATGTTTGAATGAATGTGTCCCACATCTATAAATGAATAAGTATATCACGTAATACCCAGCCATAAAAGCTGGTTTCTGTGTAATTGTAAACCTAATATGAAGAATTTGTCTATTTATTGTTCAGTTATACAGGGTGTTCACTCGTCGAGGAAACCAGGGAAGTAGTGTGGGTTGGATACAGTATTTCTCACAGAGATCTGCTGTAACTGCAGATAGCAGAATGAGTCATCGGCGCTGATAAATACGCACACTCTCACAAGCATAGAGCAGATGGTTTGTTTCGCCACAACTATTCCCTCACATCAGTTTCCATACATGCACACATTTATAAGAATACTGTAAAAAGATAACACAAATTTACCTTGCTTTATAACAGGTGCTGAAAGTGACCCCCTTCTGCTTGCAGACATGCCTTGCATCACATAAATAAATTATGCGACACTTTCTGAAGTTGGTCCACAGTAATTGAACTAATTACGTGTGTTATTTCATTCTGTTATTTTATATGGGCGAAGTTTGATTAATTTTGTGGCTGTGAAAGCAGATTGTAGCCAAACACTGGTTTTCTGTGCTAAGCGTCTTAATGATTTTCGAGGACTGATCTGTAGTCATGCCACAATATCCCAAACTTTTTCTTCAGTTAGCACAATCCTCTTCAAATGCTTCTTTATGTCACACACAGAACCTGTGGCCCGCCACTTTTTCACAAGCTTGGATACACACAACTTTGTGGGAACTGGTGTGTCATGATATTTACAATGAAACTTACTGATACATTTTCTGTAAGTTTTTACCTTGGAAAAATTTTGACAGTAAACACACACTGTTCAATAGTGAACTTCATCTCAGTATAAATGTTGACTGCCTATTGAAATCTCTAACACAGACTGACTGTTACTGCGACTTAACTGCAGTGAGAAGATCACATCACCCGACTGTGGGCATTTATCAGCGCTGATGACTTATTCTGCTATTGGGAGTTACAGCAGTAATCTGTGAGGAATTTTAGGTGCCGTCAGTGACGTAGAGAAGTTTCCTCATTCCTTGAACGCAGTGTATATCCTTAGCATTCACAGGTGTCATTACTGTGAACAGTTGAAAATGATAAAGTGTGCCATATATTATCAGATATACATGTTTTCAGCTTCACAAGTCTGAACTACAGAAATGTTCAGAATTACTGGGTTTTTGGACTTGGTCCATTGTCTGGTATTCTAGAAACTAGAAAACACAACATTTAGGAAACTGGATCTGTTTCCATCCTTAGGTGAGGGGTGGGGGCAAACACCTACTGAGTTGGGTCCCTTAGAAAGCTAACGTTAGTGACTGATCCAATGATTTTTAGAGACTATTTAGAAATGTGTCTTGTGTTTGATGTTAGGGCAGGCATGAATGCTCAGAGAAGGTTTTTTAAACCAAAAATCAGTGGTCTAAAGTGTCCAGCTTTGGTTAGCGTTCAAGTTTTGTATGTTCGCAGCTCTGCATGTACTGAAGAGCCAGAACAGAAAGGAACTGTTCTACCAGTTTGCACCAGCTCTCATGCAGTTTGTGCCAAAGCAGATGGTTGATGCACTCATCAGTCAGGGGAGAGGACTGAGTCCTGCCAAGCTGTTGCCTGCTCTTGTTACCATAGATGATGACCAGGTCAGTATGAGTCATATTTGTGAAGTGGGTCCCTTGTCACTGCATCATGGCATGACCTCTGGTTGCATGCTTAGTGGAAACCTCCAGATTTGAAGTGTGGTCATCCAGCTTGGGATGTGGGTCTGACACCTGCTCATCATAAAAAATGGGCATGCATGAAATGGTATGCATGGTCTCAGTTTGACTGTTAGCTTCACTAGAATGACTGCTTTGTAGAGTCTGTTAAATAGTTATTGAGGTAGTATTTTTGACATGTTGGGCATCTGACTTACATGACAGAGAAGCTTCAGAAATTTGTATAAATAATTGTAGATCACTATAGATCATACATTCAATAGCTGAGAGAAGTAATTGTTCCACTTATTCAAAATACTGTGGGAATCTGCAAACAGATCACCATTCCCATCCTTCACTTAGTTACTTCAAGGTTGTAACTCCTCTTAAAGTCATTTATTCCTCTATACAGGCCTCTAATGTTCTTGTTCTTACTGTTCGTTGTAGTCTCGTCAATTTTGTCTTTCAGGTATTCCCTCTTTTTATTTCTGAAATGCCTGCTTTTTTCACATCTTACTTGTATATCGTTCAGATTATCCCCATTTAACTCGCTTGGATCCTGTAACTACTGAAATTTACCTTGTTTCCTTTGGTCTAATAATTCTGAGCACCTTTCATCGAACCATGGCTTATGCTTCTTCAGTTCATAATAACCAAACTCTCTTTGGCTGAAATTTGATATTCTATCTTATAGTTTCCCAAGCTCTATTAATATCCATCTCGGTGTCTAAATATTTCAAAGCTGCAAACATATTTGAGATTTCATCTCGATGCTGCTCTGTACTGCCTGCGTCATTTAATTTCTTGAGATTGAACCTCTCCATATGAACTCTGTGCTTTGTTTGTTTACTCACTTTCAGTCTGTCCCTTACTTTTACCACAACCAGATAGTGGTCAGTATCACAATCTGCTGCCCTGAATGATTGGACATCAAGTATACTTGAATGCCATCTCCTGTCTGTCAAAATATGGTCAATTTGGTTCTACATCTTTCCATCAGGAGATGTCCAAGTAAATTTATGAATGTTACAATGTGGGAACATCGTACTTTTGAGAGTACGTGGGGTAGTTAAAAAATTTTAATTATCACCCAGAAGAAACAGACACAGGTCAAGAAATTGTATGGGAGTTAGTCCTCTACATATGCCCCCTGCAAGGCCACACATTTTCCCAAACGATGCATTAGCTGCTGGAATCGCTTACCATGAAGTGACTTCTTTAGCCGTGGGAAGAGGAAGAAGTCACTCAGTGCCAGGTCTGATGAATATGGTGGATGGGGGAGAATTTCGTATCCAAGACTGGCAGCAGGTGTTGTTGTAGCATGAGTAGCATGAACTGGTGCGTTGTCATGAAGATGTTGCACACATTTTCCCAGCATTCCGTGTTGCTTTTTCTTGATTTTCTCCCGTAAATTTCTCAGAAGGTTCTGGTAGTACTCACCACTGATGGTGACACCCTTTTGCGCATAGTCTGTCTTGATGACACCCCACCGATCCCAGAACATGCTCAACATCACCTTTACTGATGATGACTGAGATTTGGCCTTTGGTGGCAGTGAGTCTGCATGTTTCTACTGCTTGCTCATTTTTTTTGTTTCAGGGTCATAATGATAGACCCAACATCCATCCATCATGATCAGGCAGTCAAAAAATTCCACATTTTCATCTTGACACAACTGCAAAAGTTTCTTTGCCACATTCATCCATTGCTGTTTTTGAACTGGTGTCAACAATTGTGGCACCCAACGTGCAGAAACCTTTGTTATGTGTAACTCGTCATGGATGATGTTGAAAACCGACCCATGGCTAATGAAGATGTCATGGACAATAGCTTTGATAGTTATGCACCTATCGGATAGGATCAAAGCTTCCACCTGTCCACAATTCCCAGTTCCTGAGCGAGAGATATTCTTCCACCTCGGGGTTCATCTTCGAGGTTTGTCTGTCCACAGTGAAAGTGCCTCTTTCACCTGACCACTGTGTCATATGATGGTACACCTTCCTGATACACAGCGGTCATCTGGTCATGGATTTCTCTGGCAGACTTCACTTGCAAATGCAAGAACCGTATCACAGCGTGTGCCTCCACTTCCTCAACTGACGTCACCAGTTTGCTTCTGCCCCTTCCGGTGTCTTCCTCTGTCCACTTGGCGCAGGAAAATTTGACTGTTCGGCAAGCTCAGGAAATGGGCTATCTCTTATAGAACGGTATTTTGGAAGTATGGTTTTCTCATGGTGATATTTAAAACATTATGACTTCCCATCGTAAGGTTTTAGGATGTGGCAAAGTTTACTACTCTGATTCCATTACCATTACTAATTTTGTACAAACTCTCATTCCCAGTTATTTGTTTGAAAATATCTTCCCTACCTGCTTTGGCATTGAAATCTCCTAACACAATTTTCATATGGTATTTAGGGAATTTATTGAATACATGTTCTAGTTTGTAGAACCTGTCCTTCACAAGATGAATAAAATAAATAAGTAAAAAATGCAGTGCAGTCACATTTTATGCTAGGATGTGTTCCTGAAGAGCTCACATTATCCAAGACAAGTTTTGAATGACATACTTGATTGTTGCTAATTTTTTTTTGAGGGGGATTCGCATTACTTCAAGCTTTGTGCAGAGAGTGAGACTTTATTAATGTTTTTTTATATTGCACTAATTCAGATTTGCATAAAATATGACTGCACTCTGTACAACCAGGATAGCTCAGTGGGTATAGGGACTAGGTTACAGGTTGGACAACCAAGTCTGGGACCCACTCAGATTCCTGTACAGTGGGTACCAAGAGCTGTTTCTCCAAGGAGTAAAGTGACAGGAGCGTGTAACTGTCCCCTCATCTCCATCTAGTGCAGAGGTTAAGGATGTGTAGAGCTGTACCTCCACTCCTCATACATCTTCATGGTCCCTGTAGTTTGTGTGTGGCTCTGTTTCAGGCTGGAGAGGCAGTTCGCTACCTGGAGAACTGTGTGCATTCACTGGGGTGCCAGCAGCAGGCTATACACAATTACCTTCTGTCTCTCTATGCTCGCCTAAAACCTCAGAGCCTCATGGACTATCTGGCAATGCAAGGTCAGTAGCATGGCAGACAATGCTCTGATATAGCTATGAGCCCAGTTTACCATACTTCTGGCATAGTCCCACCAGTTGAAAAATGCTAGTGGATCTCTTTCCTTTAAATTTTAATTCTAATCCCATTCTCAGTACCCTTATTCTGTCCATTCATTCTACATGTCTGAGCATTTGTATTCATTTCCGATCTAACCCTTTAATAGATTTTTCATTTGTTTCTCTTTGTATGGCTCTTTGTTTTGACATTGTATGTTAGTATCAGCTTAAAATTTATTTAAATATCCTGTTACTTTGAATATAAGATGCACATTTTACACATTTTTCACCACTGAAAAATTGATGTGTGTCTTAAATTCAAGAAATGTTCACCTTTCTATCTTTTCCTAAAACTCCTTGTTCAAAAGCCTGGTGCATCTTAAATTCAAGGTCGTCTTCTATTCAAAGCAATATGATATTATTATGCGTTGTTTGGAATCTTCCTGCCCCATAACATTCCTTTTATAAATTGATAAGATTATCATTTTTGTTTTTCTGTTGGCCTGTCCATCAAATTTCCATTCTGAATTCATTTCACTTCCCAAATAAATAAAGTTGTCTGCTTGTTTAACTGCTGTATCGTTAACTTTTATTCTGACATTTATGTCTAGGTTCTCATGGTCTGTATTCCTTTATAATAATATTACATTTTTCTTTGTTATCTTTTTTATCTTTCCTCCAAATCAGTACCTTCTCTCTATGTTCTCCCCTACCCACTTAACATCATTTGAGTAAACAAGTACGTCAGTTAGGCATGAGGCTCGCCTAATCGCCTGTACAATGGGTACTGGGTGCTCCTTTCTCGAAGGAGGGGGTTAAAGTAACTGGAGCATGGAGCTTACCACTTGTCTCCATCTGGTACTGAGGTTTAGAATTTGTCTGACTAAACTGCCACCTGCCCATGTACAGTAAACCCTCGCTGATCCGGATTAATTGGGGGGGGGGGGGGAATTCATCTGGATTAAGTGATAATCCAGATTAGTGAAGCAATAATATCTGCCCAGCCCAGAGTCAGCAGCACTACTGGACAGTGTGCAAGATGATATAATGTATGTTCTTTCTCAGCGCAGTCAGAGTGGCTTATCTGCCTTCCTAAATGTCATGTGTATGTACTCAACTGTGAACAGCATTTTTAGTTTTTCATATTTTGATCCAGATTATCCAACGTCTAGATTAACTGTAACTAGACTGGTGAGGGTTTACTGTATCTTAATGGTGTGGTGCGTAATTAAGCACACGGACAACTCATCTTTGCCTTTCACTTCCAACCCTTTGTCATCCTTTTGAACTTAGTGACTATTCATACAGGAGCAACATTTAAAAATAAGTGCAGATAAGCCAACACATTGTTTTAGCTCCTTGCGCATTGGAGATGAATCTTGCTACCATGGCAAATGTAACACCATTCTTGATTTAGGTCAGGATGCCAGCATGGTATGTTATGACATCCATTATGCACTGCGTCTGTGTCAGGAGAGGAACCTCACTGAGGCGTGTGTCCAGCTGTCAGCCCTTCTGGGCCTGTGGGAATCGGCAGTTGACCTTGCACTTACTGTTGATGTGAAGCTGGCCAAGCACACTGCCAGTTTACCTCAGAATGATCCTGAGCTTAGGAAGAAACTCTGGCTGAAGATTGGTAAGTTCACCCTTTGTTTTGCACTTTGTGCTTAGGTAGTGGTTCTCAGCAGAATTATTTTTTCTCTCCATGCTCTTTGAAATTAATGTGGAAATGGGCAGCCTCTCACCATAGAAACAAGTAGCAGATTTTCAGAAGTTTTGTACAACATAAGCAAATGTCCATATGAAGCAAAACTAACATGATTGTTTAAAAATGAATTAATTCCCTAATCTTTTTCCACATATACCTCAATAAGAAAGTCACAGATGACAGGATAAGTGTAATATATGAAATTTAAAATTACACTCCTAGTATTGAAGGGGCATCACTGTGATAACCTACGTAAGTCAGGAAATATGTCAGCAGTGTAACGGTTCTGGTGGGTTTGCTTCATTTTATCTGCAAAACTGTAGAACATACCAGAAATATGTATTAGGCAAAAATGTCTTTCATTTTATTCAGGACCACTTTTTCTTGGATAAATATTCATGGCAAGTTGTGCTTGAGACTGCATGCAGAAATGCATGTAGTTCCTTATAAAGCTTGTGGCAATGTCGTATTTTAACCAAAACTTGAATGTGTTGACAAATTATCTTAAAACTCAATAATATTCACATTTAATGAAAAATAAATTAGCAGTTCAATTCTCAAGTTGTTACATGCTGATGCACAGACAGTAGGTACCTTTTTGCAACTTTTCATTTGCAAGTGCAAGCAGCAAAGAGGGAATTCATTATTATTAAAGTGGATATGAAACGTTCATCTGACTCAGTACAGTAATACTGTTTCTTACTGCCTATCAGAGGGGAGGAAAGGTTTGACTTCTTGGGAGTGGAACTATCAGAAAGACTATGAGGCAACACACACTAATCCTAATGCTGAATACACAATAGCATTATGTCACAAAAATGTTTAGGAAACAAGAAGCCAAATCTTCATATGTTATTGTCATGTTTTGCTTGTTTACTTAATATCTAAATGAACTTCATGTAGTGTTAAGCTCCCAGAAAGTCAAATTGATGGTGTTAATCTGCTAGTTTTCTTAATTTCTAAGATAGCATTGTGCTGTACTGGGCTGTTCTATCTTATATTGTACAACCTGCAGCAAACACAAGCACAAAGACTGGTGCTGGGTCCATTGTACACCCCAAAACATGTTAGGACCTTCCCACATAGGGCCCTGAGTGTAATTGTGAAGCCAGAACCATCCCTCTCTTAAAGTCGTTTATTCCCCTATACAGGTCTCTAATGTGTTGTTCTTACAGTTCATTGCAAACTCATCAATTTTGTCTTTCAGATATTCCCTCTTTTTGTTCCTGAAATGCCTGCTGAATTCATCTCTTATATTCTTCAGATTATTTCCATTAATTTCTCATGAATCCTGTAACCACTGCAATTTGCTTTGTTTCCTTTGATCTAATAATTTTGAGCATCCTTTGTCGAACTATGTCTAATGCTGCTTCAGTTCATAGTAACCTAGAATTTCTTTGGGTGAAATTTTAATATTCTCTTTAATAGTTTCCCAAGATTTATTAATATCCACCTCAGTGTCTAAGTTTCCCAAACCTACAAACCTATTTGAGATTTGAACATGATACTGCTCTGTACCCTCTATCTCATTTAATTTCTTGAGAGTGAAACTCTCTGTATGAAATCTGTGCATTGTTTGTTTAGTCACTACTAGTCTCTCCCTAACTTTTGCCACCACCACACAGTGGTCGTTATCACAATCTACTACACTGAATGATCGGGCATTAGGTACACTTTAATGCCACCTCCTGTCTGTCAAATCGATTGTGAGTCTTTCCGTTAGGAAATATTCAAGTACATTTATGAATATTACAATGTGGGAGCGTTATATTTTTGACATATTTGGATGTGACAAAGTTTACTACTCTAACTCCATTAACAATTGTTGGCTTGAAAATGTCTTCCTTACCTACATTGGTATTGAAATCTCCTAACAAAATTTTCTTGTAAAACCTTACTTTACTTAGCATAAATAAATATTGTTAGCATGTGTACTGGATGATATGTCTGTCCAGTACATGTGTATGCTATAACAGGTGTTGCATTTTGTTCATATTGATTTTATCTTAGTAACGCAATTTGAGCATGTTTGTTTAAATGGATGCAGGATTATATGGAAGACATTACTTTTCAGGGAGGCAAACTTGTTTATTTGCAATATATGGAGCATGTACATAGTGTATTACTTTAAATAATTAGTAGCTGTAGATATTTATGATCAATTTGCATTCTGTGGGCACTGTTCTGTCATTCACACACAGTACCGTTAACTAACTGGTTTGTTGGTAAAACTTGGCACTGTGCCTGCATTTCACCACAGTCCATGAATTGTTGTATAAATACTTGCTATGGAAGGAACCAGTTTGCCTTGAATGTTAGTTCCCAGTCCTCTGGCTGTGAGTAAGGCGTGAACCGGTATTGCACTGACTAGCCGCTCCAGCCTTGTCTCAGAGTATACTATAAAAAACTCATTCACTGCACTGATCAACATTGAGCAATAATAGATGACACTACATGTCATGGATGAGTTGTTGGTGGAAGTCTTGCTGTAAGAGCTGGTTGTGTGGTCAGGGCCGGAAAGATCTACAGGATACGTGCGGCCAGTGGTGCAGCGATGGCACCCAGAGGGGCAGTGGCAGCAGGGGTGTGGCCAATGGCTAGGGGAGCTGCGAGAGGGGCAGCAAGGGGAGCTGCAAGGGGAGCAGCGAGGGGTGCTGCGAGAGGGGCAGCAAGGGGAGCTGCAAAGGGAGCAGCAATGGTAGCAGCAAGGGGAGCAGCGAGAGGAGCAGCGAGGGGAGCGGCAATGGTAGCGGCAAGGGGAGCTGCAAGGGGAGCAGTTGCAGCAGGAGTGTGGCCAAGGGCCAGGGGAGCTGCAAGAGGAGCTGCGAGAGGAGCGGCAAGGGGAGCAGCAATGGCTCCCAAGGGAGCTGTGGCTGCAGGAGTGTGGCCAACAGCCAGTGGAGCCACAATGCCACGGCGGCGACGAAGAAGGATACCACCTTTGGCAGCAAGATGTGCGGCCTTAGCAGCGGCAACTTCAGGAGTGTCAGCAAGGGGCAGGGAGGGTCCGATGGGCAGGGCGTTGCTTGCCACGCGATATCCCAGGGCATCGGCAACGTAGTCAGTCCTCAAGACATTACCATTTGGACTCAGGTAGCTGAAGCTGCCGATCTTGTTGCCAGCGGCGTCCTGTAACATGCAGAACATTGTGAATGGCTTAACTTGAAGTGTGATATGCTGCAAGAGTGTTTTTTGCAAAACGAGTTGAAGCAAAGTTTTGTGAGAGATTTTAGCCTATTTACTGGTGACATGATCATCTGCTTCCACCCAGACTTTGTTCCATGGGCTGTATCAGGCTGTAACCTTTGCAAGAGGGACCGCTGTGCCCAGATTTGAAGCAGAGCATGCCGAGAACCTAATAATTTGCAAATAATGCCACATTTCTATTTTGTAATATAGCTTTCTGTCTTAGAAATTAAATTTTTAATTACTGTTGTGTGCCCTCAGAATAAGCAAAACGAAAGTGTTGTATTCTTTGTCTAAAACATCTTTGAGGGTATGTCACAGCTTATATAAGTAAGCAACCGTACAGAGGGACAGACTTGTATGTTTAACAAGAACTTCAGTATGGTGATTTTTATGCCCATTCTGTGTTGAGAGTACTCTTTCTAGTGATTATGTAATGGTCCATATTAAGCAATGATAGTGACACCCTCATAGATGTTCTAGGTAAAAGCTACAACTTGATTGGTAAGGCCATTATAACTAAATGCTGATCTTGTCGCTAGTAAGAAGAAAAATATTATATATATGCAAGAATTATTCTTTCCAATTCCTTACCTGGATAGCATTGTGGGTCTGCAAGGGTTCGGCATGCCCATAGCTAGCCTGACCAATGCTGTCTTGAATGTGGTATTTGGACTGGACAGCAAGGGGGGTAGCAATTGCCGCAGCTGCGAGAGGGGCAGCAATTGGTGCAGCTGCAAAAGGGGCAGCAATTGTTGCGGCTGCAAGAGGGGCAGCAATTGGCGCAGCAAATGTTGCGGCTGCAAGAGGGGCAGCAATTGGCGCAGCTGCCAAACTGGTGTATGTGGTGATGGCTTCAGGTTTGGCAAGGGCACAAGCCAAAGTAGCTGTGATGACTACCTGAAAATGAAATTGCTGATAGTTGGGATGTACATTGTAGCCCAGAGAGAGATGTAAGCAGACTAGAGTCAGTAGGGATGAAGTTTGTGCAGTTCTAAGAAACATTAAATATGAGATAATACCTGAACCCAGGATATGAAGCAACAGAAGTCAGTGAAATTAAGAATGTGTTATTCTGCCTGGACAATAGGATAATCTTGGTACTCAGAAATCATGATTGAGAATAAACGGTTATTGATGATACCAAAGAGAGGATGGAGAGACAAAGTGTATAAAGGAAAACGGAAAGTCTGAACACATATATGAGAGGAGTGCTTCTGGAAGGGTATGGAAGAAATTATAAGGGTTTGTCACAAAATGATCCATTCTGATGAAGTGGGTGGTGGTGGTGGTGGTGACACTGGCAAGGAAATTATACCGAGTGATACGTTCCTCTGAAACGTTGGTTAACACAATTTCTACACGTTGCCACATCCCAGAAGACAGCTTTCTTCTTTATACCAAGTGTAGTTCACTGTAGCGGCAAAATGCCACAGTTCACATCATCAAGGCAAATATATATTTTCAATTCTAAGTTGAAACTGATGGATGTACTTAAGGATATCTTGCATAGATAGAAACAATCAAAGCATGGGTGCTTTGAGAAAATGAACACAATACACGTTTAATATATAATAATGAGAATCCCTGTTCTAGCTGCTTAAAGGCCCTGAAAACTGTGGGGTCCATCTTAAATGTCTGTGCCCAAAAGAAGAAGACTTTAAGGGATTAAATGGAGAGGACTGAACTGTGTTGGAATGTAGCACATGCGCGGGAAACATTGGAAATTTTGGTTGAGAAAC